ATCTGTGAGCCAGGATAAGGACCGCTGCATAAGATCTGTAACTGCCCTCCCCCGCCACAAAGTCACAGAGCAAACCTCCCCCCCAGAACATGAAAAACACCTCCCAGACTGACCAGGGTAACCAGTGACTGCACTGTGTATGTGTCCTGATGCTGGACGTGACACCGCCTCTGTACCCTGCTAAAGGTCACTGTCCTGTCCAATTACCAAGCCCCTTCCCCCCTCCAGACAGACTCTCCCTCAAAAGAACCTGACTGAAACAGCAATGAACAGAAACAAACATTTTATTGCGAACCAGACATGAAACGTGGGGGGTGAAACTTGGACGGGGGCTTGTGTGAGGTGGGTAGGAAAGGACTTATGAAATTTTGGGGAATGTCAGCCTTCTAGTGCTAGAGCAGTCTGCAGGGGTTGACTGAAAGTTTTAACGTCCCTTGCCGCCCCTCCTTCTTTGGACTTTAGGTGAGGGTGGTGTGTGACTTGGTGGCGGGTGAGGGCGGTTACAGATAGACTGCAGCGGGGCTCTGTCCTCCTGCCTCCGGTCTTGCAGAACATCCACAAGGCGCCGGAGCGTGTCCGTTTGCTCCCTCATTAGTCCAAGCAGCTTTTCAGTAGCCTGTTGGTCCTCCTCACGCCACCTCTCCTCCCGTTCCATGACTGCTCGGTGCATTTGTGACAAGTTCTCCCTCCACTGTGTCTGCTGGGCTGCCTGGGCTCGGGAGCAGCCCATTAGTTCTGAGAACATGTCTTCACGCGTCTTCTTCTTCCTCTGCCTAATCTGCGCTAGCCTCTGGGAGTGTGCTGACAGGCTGGGTTGGGAGACAGTCGCAGATGTGTCTGTGTGAATTGTAAAAAGGGAGTGAATTCCTGAGACAGATAAATGAAATTGTATACAAAGAACCTAGTCTTTCTCTGTGAACAAGACCATGCACTGCACCTCTCACATGCGCACTCAGGACAAGGTCGAATTTTCGGCCGTCGCCTTCAGTGCCTGTGGACTTGCGGTGGTCTTGGAGTGATCAGAGAACTGTGGCTGGAGACCTGAACTTCTGGAGCGGGCAATAATGGTAAGCCGTAGACTTGTGGCTGCTTAAAACTCCAGCAGTAGCACTGGCCTCCTTTCACATTGAAAGCAATGCCAGTCTCTGCTGCCAGCAATCAGGACAGCATCAACTCTGCCCCGTCCCACCCCCTCGCGGCTGTCCCAGGTAAAGATCCCTGTATGCTGCCCCTCTCCCTCCACCGCGTGGCTGTAAAGCAGTCCCAATACTAACATTCCCCTCCCTAATTCAAAGCAGGGCGTCATGAGCGACATCACCCTCCTGAGGATCCCGGACACCCAGAAAGAACGCATGCTGCGGGAAAGCATGCAGAAACCGGGGCCGTATGCCGCGATGCTATGTCGGGCCATGATCCCCGAGTACTTGATTGTGGCTTGGAGGGGACATGTCTGCTACCACGGAGGGCCCACTAAGATCGCCCTACCCCGGAACCTCATAAACAGGCTTGAGATCTACCTCCACGAGACCTACGAGGAGTTCTCCTACGAGGATTTCTCGTCAATCCCCGGCCACATTGACCGGATTTTCGCCTAGGTGCACTGGGACTATGGAGTGGAGCGTCTTGGGCCTCGGAATCATGTAGTAACGGACATTGTGAAAATTTTTTAAAATACTTGGGACTAAATTGAGAAGAGCCTAAGACAGAGAAATCATGAAAACCCATTTGTTACCTTTGTAAATATTCCTGTTTTGTACCTGATTATTTTTTACCAGTTTACAGCACTTTTATAAATATACATTGTTAATAGTATAAATATTACCGTTCTGTTTTAAATAAATGTTTACATGTTTACAGCACTTACTGCTTGATCCTTCCCCTGATTCTGTGTCCGGGGTAAGGGATGGGGACGGTTGGTACGGGATCTCGGTAAGGGTGATGAAGAGCTCCTGGCTGTCGGGGAAATCAGCGGTGCCAGCGCTGTCGACTGCCTCGTCCTCCTCATCTCCTTCTTCATCTTCCCCGTCCGCTAACATGTCCGACGAGGAACCGGCCGCGGACAATATCCCATCCTCGGAGTCCACGGTCAGGGGTGGGGTAGTGGTGGCGGCCGCTCCCAGGATGGAATGCAGTGCCTCGTAGAAACGGGATGTGTGGGGCTGGGATCCGGATCGTCCGTTAGCCTCTTTGGTTTTTTGGTAGCCTTGTCTCAGCTCCTTGATTTTCACGCGGCACTGCGTTGCATCCCGGCTGTAGCCTCTATCTGCCATGGCTTTGGAGATCTTCTCGTAGATCTTAGCATTCCTTCTTTTGGAGCGCAGCTCGGAAAGCACGGACTCATCGCCCCACACTGCGATGAGATCCAAGACTTCCCGATCAGTCCATGCTGGGGCCCTCTTTCTATTAGATTGCACGGCCATCTCTGCTGGAGAGCTCTGCATCGTTGCCACTGCTCCTGAGCTCACCTCGATGTCCAAACAGGAACTGAGATTCAAACTGCCCAGACAGGAAAATGAATTCAAATTTTCCCGGGGGTGTGGCTGGTCAGAGCATCCGAGCTCGGACTGCTGTCCAGAGCGTCAACAGAGTGGTGCACTGTGGGATAGCTCCCGGAGCTATTAGCGTCGATTTCCATCCACACCTAGCCTAATTCGATATGGCCATTTCGAATTTAGCGCTACTCCTCTTGTTGGGGAGGATTACAGAAATCGATTTAAAGAGAGCTCTATGTCGAACTAAATGGCTTCCTGGTGTGGACGGGTGCAGGGTTAATTCGATATAACGGCGCTAAATTCGACATAAAAGCCTAGTGTAGACCAGGCCAGAGATTCTTATATTAACAAAAGTCCTAGTCCTCAGTGATTCCTTTACCTGGGTAAGGACTGATACCTCTGTGGTTAATGTCTTGGAAAATTTCAGCATGCTATGTAATACTGTCGCCATGAATCTGACTCATGGAAATACTCCTAACACCTTATGTTATATCACATCAAAAATATATTTACCTTCTTCCATTGTATTCTTCTCAGTTACTGCAAATACATGGAATCACATTGCAATGTTAATTACTCTTATAAGTTTCCCAAGGCCTTATTTCAACCACAAAACAGCTTTAAAATACAGGACCAGATTCTCTCCATTTAGGAAAAACCTGCTTTAGGAGACAGGAACAAATTGTTTCACTTGAAGATCATCTCCTCATTCACTGTATTGGAAGATGGTTTCTTCCAGTTCACTGATTATGCAGAGAATCTGACGACATAAAGCAACGGATGGCCTGTCATCTGTGAAAATGTCAGGATGCTTATAGAGACCCCTTGCCTCAGCATATCCCCCCAACCCACATCCTCTGACTTTACAGGACAGCTTCTGAGTGAGCCAGACAAAGCCATCAGTGAATAGGATCAGATATCAACTGGTACAAAGATTGGGGTGGGAAAAGTGGGGCATCAGAGTGAAGTTTTGGGAGATCTGAAAAATTAAGGAAGGAGTCCAAAACAATTAAGTGTCGGTGAAGTGAAATAAATAGAACCAATCATGAGACTTAAAATCTGCTGAAGAAGACTAAAGTGAAACTTTAATTGAGGAAGATTTTTTTTTACCAGAGAAATATTATGGGATGCTGAAATTTCTAGGATACCCCATGAATACCCACAAGAGAAATGAGTGATCAGAGGAGCTAGATGCTCACCCAGCTTTTTAAATAAGTCCAGGTCTTTCCCTAGTCCTGAATGAATCTTGTGGACCAAGAGCAAATCCACTATGGCCAAACATAATTCCAAGGCAGACAACCAGCAGGAGGTAATCACTCCTGTTTCCAATGCCTATGTTATAAAAGGCCTTGAATTTTATACTTTACCCAGTCTATATCATGTAGATGAGCAACCCTTTTCTACAACTGTTAATGATTCTGGAACAATGTCCACATAAGGATGAATGGCAGAAGGCTAGCCTGAATGTGATCTATTTTAATAACAAGATCTGTTTATAACAGAAGGAAACAAACTTTCCTAATGAGCCACTAATGGCAATAGTCACTGTTGCTCAATTCCTGAATATAAACCCCAACTCCTATGAAATCATTGGATGCATACTGCAAACGTTAAAAGCACACAGCTGTTGACCACAATTAAAACAGAACAAACCCACCCATCTCCTGTAATTTATAAACAGTTTCTCAGATCAGAACAGCAACTATATGTTAAACTTTTATTCTAAAATCAGAGAAATGTAGGGGGTGAAAGGGACCTTGAGAAGTCATCCAGTCCCACCCTCCGTGCTGAGGGAAGACCAAGTAAACCGAGACCATCTCTGACAAGTGTTTGTCGAACCTGTTCTAAAAACTCTCCAGTGATGGGAATTCCACAGGCTCTCTGGGACTGTGTCAAAATCAAGATATAAGATATGTTCATATTAATTTGCATTCACCTGCCTAGTTACTTACCTGATTGAGATGTTGTGTCATTATTATCTGAAAAAAATTAAAATGCCTTTTGAAAATGAGACATTTTTCATAGCATTCTACAATAGTTTTGATTGAAACAGTCACTGTCATGAATGCTAAGTCTGGTGTCTATTCTGGCCTTGAATATATTTATATGTGAGGAATTTAAAATTTGTCTTTCAGAACAAGGGACATATCTGGTAAGGAATTATAATGTACAGACCCTTATATTTAATTTTCTGAATCTGCCCCTAGAAAACTCATTTCAGTTTTTGTTTGGCTTTAGTATAGTTAAAGAATTCCATATCATCTGTTTAAACATTTTCACATATTTATTGAAAAAACATACAAAGAAATACTTACTTTTCAATTTATACCCTACAGCAGCAATAAGGGCTATGCTAAGAAATAAAATGACCAGGAAAGCAGCCATCCAAGGGGAGGTGGTTGGGAAGAAAACATCTGAAAAACATGTGAAAATGTCAATTACATTCTAATAATTCTTAAGAAACATCATGAAAATGATAAGGCCAACCAAACGGAGTCTGTCTGAGGACCTGGTGAAATCAGATTTCACTTGAATGTAAAGACTGCCATTTCTTTCTGGTAGAACAAAGTCTAGATGAATTTAGATCAAAAGATTCTACACATCTTCAAGGAAGGATATCATGGAGAACAGAGCTGTGGGCTCCTCCAATGTGTTCTGGAAAAGCACACACCTTCAGCCACACCCAGCTCACCTTACTCATGCAGATAGAAACACCTCAGACATTGAGAGACATGTCTCTCATGAGTAAGGTTCACAGGATTTACCTCAAATACCCTTTCAGCGCTAGTATTCATACAGAAATTGTATGCATATTTAATAACAGATTTTAATGTGCACATATTTAAATTATAACTTGTTCTCCATCAGTCCATGAAATGGTGAAAGTCATACCCACGCTACCTCCTGGGCACAGCCCCTGCTGCTTACTGGGGAAAATGCAAGATGCATCTCTTTGCCATAGCATTCCCACCAGAAATAGTATAAAATAAAAAGAAAGGCAGAACGATCCTCTACTGAGGAAGGGAGGTAGGGAACCTAAAAGTAGTATCCTTGGTGGAGTTACTCAGCTTAATGATATAAACCATTTCTCTGTATGCACTAAAATTAATTAACCCTGTAAACAGCCATGTGAAGTTGGTGGGGAAAATATCATTACCTCGCTATAGAGGTGGGAAAACTGAGAGAAGTTAAGCAACTTCTCTGAGGCCATAAAGCAAGTCAGTGGCAAGGCTTGAACTCAATACAGAATCCCTGTACTCAACAGATATCAACGGGACAACTCACCTGGGTGAGTACTTCAAAATATGAGTAAAGGCTATGGAATCTGCCCAATAACCATTAAATAATAATGAAAACTTAAACTCAATGTTAATGTTGAAAAATTAAGCACAGAAGAATCAGGAGAGACCAAAATGAAGGTCATACACACCACCTTAACTTTACCCTCTTTTTCAATGATGCATCAGTACATTCAATGAAACAGTTTTCCGTATCTTTTAGTAATATTGAAAATGCCATGCAACTTTGTTACATATTAATGTGCTATGAAAGCTGGATCATTATGTAGAAAAAAACACTTAATAATGTACTTGTGCAAATTATGATTTTTAAACTTTTTAACTCGGTCTAATCAAAATGGGTTTTTGCTGGAAAATGACAGGCAAGTATTTAAAAGAAGATAACAGCTAGCGCTTATATTGGGCATTTCATCAGTAGATCTCAAAACATTTTACAAAGGAGGTCAGTATTATTATCCCCAGTTTTGGGCAAACTGAGGCACAGAGAGGGGAAGTGGTTTGCCTAGTGTCACTCATGAGGTCAGCAGCATATTCAGGAATAGCACTCAGGCCTCCTAAATCCTAACCCAGTGCTCCACCTGCTAGACCAGACAAACTCTGGGCATCTATTTCTTACAACAAAGGAGGAGAGAAAAACGGAACCCATCTCATTAACCAAGTAGCCTCTTTATTGAGCCTTACATTCATTGATTCCCAATGTGCACTCACCTGAAATTAGGACTCTGGACTCGCTCGCTGTCTTTAGTATGTTATTGATTATTTTGCAGGAGACTTCGTTGTCTGAGCCAGGTTCTATGTTAATGGCACTTTCAATATTGTAGATTCCAACAGATGTCTTTGTGTTGCTGGTCGTAGGCTTTTCTGGTCGGTTTTGTCCTTTACTGTCTAACCAGAGCACCTGGGGCTCAGGGAACCATCCCTCCGACCTGCAGGTGAGGCCAATCCCCTGGTCTGCATAGTCCTCCATGAAAATGGAAGTCTCACCACCTCTAGCTAGAAAGAAAGAATAAAAGTTGTTATTACCTTCTCCTCCCCAAATAGTGCAGAGTTAGGGGGATTTCCCATGCTGCCTGAGAATTCTGAGAGAATTTGTCACCCTTTCATATGAAATTACAGGGCAAGAACTCTTCCCATGTTAAGTTAAAATAGTGACGTATCTGAAGAAACCTATACATTGGAGCTGTTTCTCTTTGCCTATAGCAGTTCAGAATCTCTCAAAGACCTGAAAGCCTCTGTGGACACACTCCTATTTATCCAGATATCTCGGTGTGCAGATGTGGTGAAAACTCAGTTCAAATTGTAAGCTGTTACTTTAAATTTCAGGGCTTTTTCCGGGTCCCATGTGCTGCACTCTGCAGAGAAGTGTGAATCTGGGTTTAGCAGCAGTCAGTCTGCAAAGAAGAAGCCTAGAGCAATGTGGGGTGAGTTGGGCCTCTCTGGTATAAGGATCAGCCTGCTTTGTCTCTCTCTGTTTTTTGGTTATTGTGTGTTAGGGTTTTGGATTCTAAGAAATTAGGTAATGTTATATTGCAATCTCCCAGAAAGAGCATTTTATGGCTTTTGTCTAACTTCTGTGTTTGTATGCCATGACCCCATATCTGGGAGCTAAGTGGAAATCACCATGGTATGACCTAGATGTGTCAGGTAACATTTTACATAAGGGCTTAGTTCTGTAGGGAAATCTTCTAACATAATGCCCTCCCTGTATAAAACTCATCCTCCATAGAATTTAATTGAGTTCAACAGAATTACATTAAGTCCTGTGAAGAGATACCCCCTCACCCTGGTATGAGGAAGGCTAAGGAGCTCCTCTTTGGCTTGTTCCATGCTGACAAGACCCACCTGCAAGGTTTGCCTGGACTTACCTGGTGGGGTAACTCACATGACTGGAGCACTGTCATGGATGTGTATAAACTGTTCAGGAAGGAAGGCGGGGGAGAAAAGGTGGAGGAGTTGCATTGTATGTAAGGGAGCAGTATGATTGCTCAGAGCTACAATATGAAACTGGAGAAGGATCCCCTGGGAGGCTAATATGAGGGGGAAAGGAGTCCAGGAGAGCTGGCTGTATTTTAAAGAAGCTTTATTGAGGGTGCAGGAACAAACCATCCTGATGTGCAGAAAGAATAGCAAATATGTCAGGAGACTAGCTTGGCTTAACAGAGAAATCTTCAGTGAGCTTAAACACAAAAACAAAGCTTACAAGAAGTGTAAGCTTACAACAAGTGTAAGAAAGCTTACAAGAAGTGGAAACTCAATGCTTTTTTCACCTCGGTCTTCACAGACAAGGTCAGCTCACAGACTGCTGCACTGGACAGCCCTCAGTGGTGAAAGAATAAGTTAAGGACTATTTAGAAAAGCTGGACATGCAC